AAAAAAAAAAAAAAAAAAAGTACAATCACTGCTCCCTAATTTTAGAGCATTTTCATCACTCCCAAAAAGAAGCCCTGTACTTGTACTTATTAGCAGGTACTTCCCAAATCCTCCCCACCCTCCCCATCCCCAGGCAATCACTAATTTGCTTTCCGTTTCTATGGTTTTGCCTATTCAGGACATTTCATAAACATGGAATCATACAATATGTGGTCTTTTTGTGACTGACTTCTTTCACTAAGCATAATGTTTTCAAGTTTTGTCCATCTCGTAGCATATATTAGGACTTCATTAGTACTGCATTCCATTTTATGGCCAAATATTATTCTGTTATATAGATGGATTTACATTTTATGTATCCATTCATCAGTTCATAGACATTTGGGTTGTTTCTACTTTTTGACTATTATGAATAGGGCTTGCTATGGAACATTCATGTACAAGTTTTTGTATGGACAGACATTTTCATTTCTCTTGGGTATATACCTGGGAGCAGAATTGCTGGGTCAAATAGTAACTTTGTTTAACTTTTTGAGGACCTGCCAGATTGTTCTCCCAAATGGCTGTACCACTTTACATTCTTAACAGCTGTATTAGTCCATTCAGGCTGCTATAACAAAATACCTTAGACTGGGTAATTTGTAAATAAAAGAAATTTATTTCTCACAGTTCTGGAGGCTGGGAAGTCCAAGATCAAGGCACCAGCAGATTCAGTGTTTGGTGAGGGCTCATTCTCTGCTTCCAAGGTGCCTTCTTGCTGCATCTTCACATGGTAGAAGGGGCAAACAGACTCCCTCAAGCTGCTTTTATAATGGCACTAATTCCATTCACAAGGGCAGAGCCCTTATGACCTAATCACCTCCTAAAGGCCCCACCTCTTAATACTATTGCATTGGGGGGTTGAGTTTCAACATATGAATTTTAGGGGGCAGAAGCATTCAGACCATATCAGGCCAGTAAATATTTTAGGCTTTGCAGGCCATAAAATCTCTGTTGCTGCTACTCAACTCTGCCATTGTAGCATGGAAGCAGCTATAGATAGTATGTAAACAAATGGGTATAGTTACATTCCAATAAAACTTTATTTACAAAAACAGACAGCTGGCCATGGTAAGTAGTTTGCTACGCCTGGTCTACTTTATGGATTTTAAAAAACCTTTGAAATCATATGCCTTTGCTAACATATGCATAAATAATTACTGTATATACTGTTAGAATAAAATCAGGTCAAGACCTAATCTCATCAATATACCAGAGCTTTTCCATTACTCATTTGAATTAAAAACTTAAACAACTGAGATGGTCAATGGTGCTTTTGAAGAAAAGTTTTAGTTAGTTTGAGATTATTTTACTTGAAAAGAAAAGGCTAATCTGTCAGTATTTAGGACTTCTGAAACAGTATAGTTGAGTTCTTCATCACTATTGAACAGGGGGTTGAGGAACCTTAGGCCAGTGTGAGAGGTAATATTGCTTTGATCCCACAAACTGTGCAACCCAAACTATAACTCCCTACCCAGTGGGCTCCTGTGGCTCTCATTCAGAGTGGATACTTCTGACATCTTATTAACAGTCCTCCAATTGTTTTTGATAAGGAAGCATTTTTAGAGTTCTTTTTTGCTTAAGTCTATTCTCTCTGAGCCACCATGATAATCTATTTAAATTACAAATATGAGCATATAACTCGTTTCAAAACCC